GGCTGGGATCCCAGCTCTGAAGGCAGAGCAGCGCAGAAGTAAGGATGGCATGGTATCATATTGCCCCCTTACTTCTGCTCTGCTGCCTGCAGAGCTGGGACTGCCCTCTGGCCGCCCAGCTCTGAAGGCGCCGCAGAAGTAAGCGTAGCAATACCGCAACCCCCCTAAAATAATCTTGTGACCCTCCTGCACCTTCCTTTTGGGTTAGGACCCCCAATTTGAGAAACATTGGTCTCCCCCCAGTGAAATCTGTATCGTGTAGGGTAAAAGCACACAAAAGACCAGATTTCACGGTCCATGATGCGAGTTTCATGGCTACGAATTTGGTAGGGTCCTACCTACAATAGCAGCCCTCAAAACAAAGAAAACTTCACAGAAGACCAGAGGGAACCCACATTTGTAGGAATTATGCAAGTTTTAATCCCATAAAAAGCCATGTTAATGAACAATAGATGTGTCATCTATTTAAGATGGAGTAGCCCAAATCACAGGCGCCAACTTTTCCCTGCGCTTGTGGGTGCTGAACCCTGCCCCCGGGCCCCCCCACTCCCTCCCCATTCCAACCCCTTCCCCAAAGTCTCCGCCCCAACTCTGCCCCCCCCCCGCCCCATTGGACCCCTTCCCCAAATCTGCGTCCCGACCCCACCTCTTCCCCGAGCGCACCGCGTTCCCCCTCCTCCCCCCTCCCTCCCAGCGCTTGCTGCTGCTAAACAGCTGTTTCGTGGCGGCAAGCGCTGGGAGCTAGGGGGAGAAGCGAAGCCTGGTGCGCTCAGGGGAGGCGGCGGAGGCAGAGGTGAGCTGGGGCGGGAGGGCGGGGAGCTGCCGGTGGGTGCAGAGCACCCACCAATTTTTCCCCGTGGGTGCTCTGACCCCCGAGCACCCACAGAGTCGGCGCCTATGGCCCAAATGGTAGTGTTTGTACTGCCGTGAAGTAAGATACAGTAGAAACTCAGAGTTATGAACACCAGAGTTACAAACTGACCAGTCAACCACACACCTCATTGGGAACCAGAAATATGCAGTCAGGCAGCAGCAGAGACAAAAAAAAAAAAAAAAAAAGCAAATACAGTACAGTACTGTGTTAAATGTAATCTACTAAAAAAATAAAGGGAAAGCAGCATTTTTCTTCTGCATAGTAAAGTTTCAAAGCTGTATTAAGTCAATGTTCAGTTGTAAACTTTTGAAAGAACAACCGTAACGTTTTGTTCAGAGTTACAAACATTTCAGAGCTACGAACCATCTCCATTCCCGAGGTGTTCGTAACTCTAAGGTTCTACTGTAAAAATAACAGTCTAGGGCCATTTCCTACCAGAACTTTCATGGGAAAAAGATGTGTATCTCATGCGGCTATCCCAGTGAGCAACATTTTAAAGAAACAAACATCTATTTTTGGACAGGTTTACATATTAATTTACTTAAAAATCTAGTCAGGCCATATCCTCCTGATTTGATACATGCTCAAATAAAACAATAGATGTCCATATAAAATCAAATGGCTGAACGTAAACGTGTAAATTCCAAACTAAACCGCAGTTCAAAATGAGTTCATTGCAGTAATGTCACCTCCTCGCTCAAACTGTAGGTCTTTGTGTAAAGCTGTGTTAGTAAACTTTCATTCACTGTCCATATTTCAGCTGTTTATTATCCAGATCAGAATGGCAGTCAATCTGTTCTTCCCGGCAACAGCTTTTATTGTCTCCTCCAATCTAGGTCACTGTTAATAAATACCACAGTCTTCCAACTGTGGGAAGTACTGTGGCATGTGTTTCATCAAAGAGTTGCTTAGAGGAAATAGCATCTCTTCCACTGCTCTCTCTAGTTAAAGACACACAATTTTGTTATCCTTGTTTTTTTAAGTCCTATGGTCTTACATTTACCGACTAACAATTTCCTGGTTCTGCCTCACCACTGCCTCAGTCATTATGATGTTATATGCATGCTCCAGATTTTGCTAAAGAAGAGTCATGTGTCTTCACTTTAACAAAATAATGACAATTACTATTCCCCCATTAAGTGCATGCAGCAGTACTATAATCAACTATTTTTTTTTAATTAATTGGCTTCTAATTCTGAGAGGAGTACTGAGCCTGTATTCTGTACTGTTCTTACAACAGCATAATACCTAAAGCTTTAACGAAGGAATTTTTTTAGTTGAAAGATTAGCAGGAGTTGTACATTTTCTACACTGTAAAACTGATTAAATGCATCATCCTTGGTTTTCTTCCTGTACTTGCAAAAATCAAAATGATCGCCTTCAAATAATTTTTTACTTTCACCCACAAGCTACTAGGCTCAGTGCGGGAATTACGAGGTGACTTCCCTGGCCTGTGTTATGCAGGAGGTCAGACAAGATGGTCAGAATTGTCCTTTCTGGCTTTAATATCTATGAATTTTCTTCAGGGATTCACAATTCAAAATGTAAAGGATTTCCCCATCTGCACAAAAGCTGTTTCATGTCTATCAGCATGAAGGCCAAAAGAAAAAAAAAAAGCCTTTGAAAGGGTCTGTAACTAAGATTGTTTTCACCCAGGTCTTTTGGTTCTCCCCATACCCAAACTGGTGTATGGTAGCTTCCTCCGAGCATCTTCTGGGGAGGAGAAGCCCAGCTCCCCGTTTAGCTTTGACCAAATACTCAAGCTACTACCTTCAGATCCTGCTTTGCTTCCCTCATGGTTAGAATTCAGTTTCCTTCTCTCTAAGGTGCCCAACTTGGGTGCCCACAAGATAACGGCTATACAGCCAATTCTAGTGGTCTGAAATGAAGTATAATTGGAGAAAGATAAAAAAAATAAAGGGGAAAAAAACGCACAGAACAATTATACAGTAAATGTTCACCAGATAGGAGAAAAAGCTTTGCTAGACAGGCACAAATCTTATGCTATTAAAGCATGGAACTACTATAAAAACTCATGCACATTTGGTAGTCACTGGAGGCACAAATGCACATGCTCTTCATTCTTCCGAAGTCCCCTCACGCTCCTGAGAGAAGCCCTAGAGCTCTTTTCTGGGACAGTCTTGTGGAGTCCCTTAGCAGCTGTTGACCAGAAGATGCCCTATTGAACCCCACCCAGCCCACTTCCACAGATGCTCTCCAGTTTTGTGAGGAGCTTGCTGGAGTAGGCACATATTAAAGCACTACTCTTGTAGAAGATGCACTAAACTAGCCCAGTAGCGAAAATTTAGGGCCTGATCCAAAGCCCACTGAAGTCAACGAGAGTCTTTCCATTAACTTTAACCAAGAGCTAGAAAAGGACGATATGGAAAGGTGAGAGCTTGAGACTCAGACAGAGGGCAGTAGAAATTTGGCAGTGAAGGCAAAAGGAGACTATGAGGTGACAGAAGAAAAAGATGACAGAGGAGGAAAAAAGAACTGAATATGGAGGGGCCTGCGTTCAAGAAACAAATTTTGTAATTGTTACATAAAAAAAGCAAAGACTGCATAAAACGTTGGCTTGTCTGCAAAAGAGAATGATCATGGTTGAACTGTAGGATGTGTTTAACCTCTTTTTTCCAGTTTTGTCATTTGCCTAATTCTAGGCAGCAATGAGATAGTCAAACGATGCTGTTGTGGCATTTCAGTATTTAAATAATTTTATTTAAACATTATTTCTTTATAATGCTTAAAAGATATAGCACATATAGTTAAAGGAAAACTTGATATGAGATGTTACAATTGGAAATCCTATAAACAATTTCTTCCCCTCACAAGACAAACACACAACAGTCAAAGTCATAGGAAGTAAAATGTATACTTTGTGCAGAAAACACGCCTCTGACTTGTTGCAGATTACTTTTTTGTCTTATTTCCTCCCTCAATTTTCATACACTGTGGCAATTTATGACATCCCTTATTTAGTGTTATTATTTATTGATTTGTTTTTCTTATTTAAGTGGCTATTTTTCCTCTAAAATTTTTTAAATGCTTCCTATGCCCCACCCCCAAAATCTTCTACCCTATCCTCTGATCTAAAGAAAATGCATTTGTATTATGCTTTCGTTACCATGACTGTAATAAGACATAATTATCTTTCACAGATGGATCATTCTTACTTAGTCTTCCGATATCAGAGAATTACTTTCTTAGCAATCAGGAGTCATAAAAAATAATCCAATTCACTTATTCGCTTGGGATTCTACATATTCTAGATCCATCTGCAATATGAATATTTATTTATTTTAAAAAAACAGCTACAGAAGGTTCATATAGCTGAACCCAGTAACACATTTTATTAAATTTATTGTCGATTATAATCTGCTACATTATCCTAATGCCAAGGCAAATTTGCAGGCATGTAATCCAGATCTACAACTGATTTTAATGAGTGTAGTCCCACTAAAGTCATTTTGCTTTATGAAGCCAGGATCTATAAAGCAGCCCAATACTAAGATGTTTATTACTATTCCAATGCTTGCAACAATAATTTCCAAAATTCCTCCTGCAGGTCACTCTTCACAATATAAAACTTTACATATTTCTTCACTGGTTTTTCTGTGGAAATATGAAATTTAAATAAGATGGTGGAAATATTTTCTGTTAGAAAATGCTGATTCAGTGAAATTAAATTGTTTTGCCAGAACATATCAATTTCATCAAAATTTTCAACAGGAAATTATCAAAATGTTTCATTTCCATAAGGTAGAAGCGCTTCATTTTAAATTGATCAGTTCCAATACAATTAAACATTTCAACAAGATAGAAACAAAATATTTTCATTTTGCAAGAAAATTCTGATATTTTGACTTTCCGTCTCAAATCAGGACAAAGCCATATTTTGAAATCTGAGAATTTGCCCCAGGACAGAAGTTCTGATTTTTGATCAGCTCTAGATTTAAGGAATTCACTCAAAGGTTGACATACAGAATGACCATTTCCCTAGGACAGAGGTGGGCAAACTACGGCCCGCAGGACCCTCCTACCCAGCTCCTGGCCCGGGAAGCTAGCTCCCAACCCCTCCTCAGCTGTCACCTCTCCCCCGCAGCCTCAACTCACTACACCGCCGGTGAAATGCTCTGGGCAACAGGGCTGCAAGCTCCTGCTGGGCAGCGCAGCTGCAGAGCCGCGGCCTGACCCGGTGCTCTGTGCTGCACAGCGGTGTGCCTGGCTCCAGCTGGGCGGTATGGCTGCCTGTCCTGGTGCTCTGGGCGGCGCGGCTGTAGAGCTGCCAGCCACTGGTACTCCAGGAAGCATGGTAAGGGGGCAGGGAGCAGGGGGGGGTTGGATAGAGGGCAGTGGAGTACAGGGGGGTGATCAGGGGCGTGGATAGGGGTTGGGGCGGTCAGAGGGCAGGGAACGGGGGGGTTGAATGGGGACAGCAGTCCCAGGGGTGCAGTCAGGAAGGGGGGGGGGTTGGATGTAGCGGCAGAGGGCAGGGATTCCGGGGGCGGTCAGGAGATGGGGGGGTGGACGGGGCAGTAGTCCTGGGGGGGCCGTCAGGGGGCAAAAAGCAGGGGGGGGGTCGGATAGGGGGCGGGGGCTGGGCCACACCTGGCTGTTCGGGGAGGCACAGCCTCCCCTAACCAGCCCTCCATATAATTTCGGAAACCCGATGTGGCCCTCAGGCCAAAAAGTTTGCCCACCCCTGCCCTAGGGGGATTTGCAATACACCTGAAAAACACTATATCTCCAACATAATTTCAATAAAGAATACTTAAAAATTCCAATACTCAGAACACAGGAAAAGCCAGATTGGATCAGATGCCAGGTCCTCTTTGCTTAGCATTCTGTCTCCAATTATGACCAACACAAGATGCTTCACATAAAGCTGTAAGACCCTACAGAAGGCAAATGTAAGACAATCTGTCCCCCACACTAGGTCTCATCCTACTCTCTAATAGTTAGAGATAGGCTTAGATCCTGAAACATGAGGTTTAACATCTCTTCCAAAATTGTTGATATGATTTATAACAACTCTGGATATTCCTGTTATCTTTATAAATGTCCAATCCCCTTTTGAATCCCACTGTTTGGAAATCCATGGCCACTTACTTCCGAGAGTACCGCTCACTACCACGAGTAGCCCCACTGCTTCCAATATCTGACATATCACAGGGCTGACTGCAAGGCAAGAGGGAGTGGAATAAGGAAGAAGCCACTGACTATGGCATACTCGTGCTTGGAAATCTGCTTGGGCTAATACTACTAAAAGCAGTACTAACTCCATTCTGTACTTCTACTTCGCTATGAGAGCATGCAACACCCGCTGAGGAAGTAACCTTGTGCTCATGGAGTAGGAGACCCTAGGGAGGTAGAGAGAGGAGTGTGGGCTTGTGCTCTGCACTCCCTCAAGGGATCTCCGGAACCCAGAGGTTGTACTCAGGTCTCAGGCCTCTGCCCGTGGAAGTGAAAAACGCAGCTCCAACTCTAGGTATGTCTATACGGCGAGTGACGAGGCGACTGTAGCCTGGTAAGCCATACCATTGCTAGCTTTAATCTACGCGGCACAGGTGACGACGGGAGTGCAACGGTGGCAGCACAGGCTAGCAACTCAAGTGCATCCCCAGGCTCCCCCGTGGGCTTGAATCATGGTGGCACAGGGTTCAGCGCAGGCTAGCCACCTGAGTACCTGCTCATTGGGGAGCCTGGGTATCTACTTGGGTTGCCAGCCCGTGCTGAAGCCCATTCCACCACATCTACACTATTATTGTTATCTATGCTACCTAGAGCAAAGCTAGCATGGGTGTGCCTACCCATGGTACAATCGACACCTTCATTTGCAGTGTAAACATACCCTATGAGGTGAATCTTTACAGTAAATTTCCCCCTCTTATGGGGGTTGTTCTGCAAAAGGGACCTAAATAAAGTATATATCGTTTTTGTAATCTAATGTTCTGTCACCAAGAGCTTAGAAATCAGCACTCACTTCCAGCCATGGTTTTGGGGTTTTTTTCAAAGCTTTTAAAAGGGTATTACAAATAACAAAGATTAGGGCACAAAAAGAAACATACTTAAAAACTCAACATCATCCCTTTTCATTAGAATAGAGAGGGCAAAAAGGCTGTATGCCCAGGGAGCACAGGAAATCCCACAGATTTGGGTAGCATTTTACTATTTTAGGAATGAAACTGAATTAACTGAATGTCTTTTTCATGTCACTTGTATTACCGCAAGATCGCAATATATCTGGACTTTAATATGTCTATACAGCACTGGAAAAAAATCTAATTTCTGCTTTCAGTATAAAAAAAACCAACCAACCAAACACACACAAACAAATACCACCAAGACATACGTTTCACAAATATAGGACCTGAATCTGATCTCGCTTACACTAGTATAAAACTATTGTAACTCCATTAAAGTCAATACAGTCACACTAATATAAAAACATGGAGTTACATCAGCCTATAATAGGGTAACTTCATTGATTTTAATGGAGGCACATCACTATAAACTTGGTGTAACTCCATGAATGTCAGGGGAGTTACACTCATGTGTAGGCGAGATCACAAAATAGCCCTGTCACTCTAGTTTACAATACTGTAATTCTAAAGCAACACAAAAAGCAAATTTGTACATTACCAAAGCTATGTCTGCGGGATATATTTTTTGCAATGCTGAAGAAGAAATATTCATTTGGCAACCACTCAACACCATGAAGAAAAGGAAGGGAAATAAAGACTAAGAAGGGACAAAGAACAAAGTACATAGCCGGGATCACAGCATACTGTAATTAGAGCTGTTAAATGATTACTAAGGCGAAATGGTGTAATCATCATGCTAGAGGAAAGTGCTAAGTAGCCAGTCTGCAACATCTCCAGCGAGAAGGTAAAAGCAATCTCAGGGACACTACCCTTTTTTACTTACCATATATACTCATCCATAAGCTGAATTTTTTTTAGTAAAAAAGGGAAGCATCAGAGAAGGGGGTCGGCTTATGAACGGGTATAGAGAGCGGGAGAGGTGGGATGCAGCCCCTCCCCCCAACAGAGGGGGCAAGGAGGGGCAGCACAGCCAGCAGCGCCAGAAGGGAAGAGGCAGGGCCAGAGTCTCTCCACTTGCGGCCACGCTGCTCTCCCCGAAGCCTCCGAAGCAGCTGCAGCCGTGCCGCTCGGCCCCGCCCACCAGAGCAGGGTGTGGCCGCACCGCCCGTCTCAGCCCACTGGAACATGCTGCAGCCACACTGCCCAGCCTGCTGGAGCAGCTCCGGCCAGGCCAGAGACATCCTCCCCTGGCCCTCCCCAGATAAGGTGGGAAGGGATGGGATGGGGAGAGTGTGGGGGTCCCGGGCTAGGGGTGGGGTCATGTGGGGGGTGGTCAGAGGGGTTACTCCTCTGACCCCCAGCTTCTCCCCCACCAGCTGCTGTCCCGGCCCATCAGGATAAGCCGCTGGCAGGCCAGGACAGATTGTTTACTTAGGTTTACCTCTGTGCCTGCAGATGCTCGAGGTAAACAAACCATCTCGGCCCGCCAGCGGCTTATCCTGATGGCCCGGAAGCCAAAGTTTGCTGAACCCTGAACTATAGGGTCGGCTTATGAATGGGTCATAAAAATTTTCCATTTTTACTTATCCATCTTGGGGGGGTCAGCTTCTAAACGAACCTGCTTATGATCAAGTATATACGGTACATAAATACTCTTAAAATCAGCCTTCTAAATTCTTAAACTCTCTAAGCCAATTAAAGTCTCATGTCACAAGACCTGGACAGCCTTCCCACATTTTGAAGTGGCCAAGTAAGTTGAAGCAAATGTGAACCTATTCACTTCCTACCCTCTGAATAATAGCTGAGTGCAGCTGCTTATACATATATATTATTTCAAGATCATTTTCTCAATGTTACCAGTGAGACTGAACTAAAGATCTGTTTCTTATTCACTTTGGGTGAAATGCAGCCCCACGAAGAAGACCAGCACAATGCTTGTGCAAAGTCTCACTTCAGCCCTATTTTGAAATAGGATTTAACATGCTGTCTCAGCAGAGAGGTGAATTTCACACTAACTTTCCCAAGCCACATTTTAGTTTTGCTCAGATGGTCCTAAAATTTAGCTTATAAATTGTGCCATTAGCATTGCTGAATATTTTATTTCCTTCCAGCAAAGAAAACAAACTTTCTTAATGTCAACAGTGAAAAATCATGCCATGCTGTTTATATACCACTCCTTTTTTCTATGTGACCATCGTTTCCATTCAGCAGAGTATCAGGAAAACTAATCTGAGTACTTTGTCTCGCTGTAAAGGGATTGATGATTGATTTCCACATACCCAAGCACTTATTTCTTACACTGGTTCACAGATTAACAGAGCAAGGGGTAAAATATAAAGAGTTTTCTATGTATATTTGTATACTGGGACATGGAATTTATTCTGACTGTCTGTGCTCATTCTGTGCAGCATAAATAAATATATGTATTTTGAATATTCCAGCAACTGAAATCTACTCACACAATACTTGAGAAAAGTTCACTTTAAGCTCAAATATTCACCAAAAGCAATTTTCCAGTAGCCAAAAAATATCACACATTGTGCTGTGCGCCTTCATTACATAATTCAGCCCGTCAAAATCAGAAACAATGCCAAGTGATTTATGAAACTAACACTGCACAAATCTCAAACATTTTCCCCAAAATAGCTGTTCAAGAATGGCTTTCAGACCAAAAATTAGTTACTAAAGAAATGGGTTAATAATTTCAAATAATAAATAATTAAGAGAACAGCTATCTGCTCACAGATAGTATTTTAACCGAGTTGAAATTCATAAGCAAATTATTTCTGAGTGCATTACACACTTTTTGACATCAGTGGAAATCCAATTTGTGGTAAAAGTGCAAAATGCCTTCATTAAAACCTCCGATTCTAAGCAGTTGCACATTACTGTTATTATTTACGTACAGTATGCTGAAAATTAACCAGGTGTTTTCCAAACAGAGAAAAACAGCCCTTGTCCCAAAGTGTATGCAGTACAAAAAGATGGACCAAATTTTAATCCTGTGTAAATTTTTGCTTGGGTTATTTTGTTTTGAAATCATTTTATGATTTTTTTATTTGTATCATTCACAGTGAAAACATATTGATTATGGCCTTTGAATCTGCAAAAAGATGCAGATTCTATGTCCATGAAAAAATTTTACTGAAATCTTCATGTAGTTTGAAAGGTCCACTTCAGACCATGTATTTGCACAATCAGGGCCTAAATGACAAGCCTTGGGGCATATGGAAAGGACTCATAAAACAAACATATTGCCACACTAAAACCTCAAGAGAGATTCCCTGAATTATTATAGTGGAGAAATGTTAAACAGTAAGACAGTTCAGCAAGCTGATAGACCTAGCCAGGTTGGTAGTTTCACCGAAACACACTCTTACTTTCTAAACATATTAAAATCCCTCACACAGTCTGCAGTGAGGAGCCTTTGACTGGGAATGGCAAACCGTGGCCACTGGGAGCTGTGGGCGGCCGTGCCTGAGGACGGCCAATGTAAACACAGTCTTGCAGCCTGCCAGCGGATGACCCTAACGGGCTGCAGGTTACCCACCACTGGTCTAGCAGGTCCTTTCGGCCCTTGGCTCTCTGGGGAGCCTCGTCCCAGCAGCAGCAGCACTGAACTCACACAATCCTGGGTGCAACGGGAGTAGGAGAGAGGGGAGCTCCTCTTTCACCCTCAACACAGTCAAGCCCACAGTAAATAGGTTTTTTGTCAAGATACAGAAACATCCTAGAGAATTTACTCTAGAAGAAGAAATAGGATGCTACCGAAATGGCTTTAAACTGTACAGAATTTAATAGGGAATAGAATTATTTCTATATTTTTAACAATTCTGTGACATTTTTAAACAGGGATATAATTCCGTATTAAATTCCATAAGATGGAAGGGGTATCAGTTTCTAATAAGAGCTATAGGAAATTAACATAAGGATGTCTTCTCCTCCCAAATATTTCTTCTTTCAAACATCTTTGCTGAGGCTATGGCAAGACAACCCTTCCCAAAGCCCATAATTATACTACGTTGTTCTTTAACCCAGTCTAGAAAAGGAAGTCCAAAGGCCCATCTTTAAAATAATTTTTAAGTACAACAGAGGCATCCCTGAAGTCCAGCATGGGGTTATATATTTTGGATTTTCTTTTAGAGGGGTACAGTGAAGATAACACAGACAAGATTAAGAAGAATAAATAAAATACATATGTCTGGGTCAGAAAAAAAGCCAGATAGAGCTCTGTCATCAGAAAAATGCAACTAAATCCAAGCAGACATCGCACTGAGACTTAGTTAACGTCAACAAATTAATACATTCCATTTTTATGCAGACTAAAACATTTTAGATTAACAGGCCAGCGATGCTCATACGTTCTAACTTTAGCTATCATGAGGGCTAGGTGAACCATTAAGTGAGCTAATCTAAATTACACATCCACATGAAAGAGTTTGTATTTTCCAGAAATTAACGTCTCTATATGAACTAGGGTCGGATTCACCCGGGGCACTAAGCCCTCGACACCATTTAAACCTTCTGGATATCTCAATTCATGGATTAAAATCTCTGCAGTATTACACTGTGTATGGGAAAAAAAGCTTCATACTATAAATCCTAAAACAAACAGCTGGACACATTATGAAGAGCTTTATAAACAAATGCCCTGAATTGAATTTATGGGCACACGGGCAGCCAGCGTACATTTGGGGGTGTAACAGATTCCTTGCTCCTTAAAGGCTTGATCCTGCAATGTGCTCAGCATTCTAGCCCTAATCTAGCAAAGCATTAAGCACTTGCTTAACTTTAAACTCATGAGTAGCCTACCTGATTTCAATGGGACAATTATTCACTTTCTTAAAGTTAAGCATGTGGTTGAGTGCTTTTGCTGGATCAGAGCCAGGGTGCTCAGCACCTTGCAGGATCAAGCCCTTAAGGAGCAAGTAACTGGTCGCATTCTGAAACTGAACAGACTAGATCAAACTGAAAGGCAATCTGATTCAGATCACATTACCACTGCCTAGTTTGGCGGTAAGAAAGATGTGTATGACTAGAGGGAGGTCCACATCTGACAGAACTGGGAGGATTTTCTGGATCTGGCAAAGACAACAGCTGCTCTAGCTGACACTTTCAACATAGGCTTTCAAGCGGAGAGAGCGGCCAAAGGTAACCCCAAACTCAGTCTGACACAGACGATCAATTACAAATGAGTAAATAAACTACCTTGTATTAATGTACCATGCAGGATCTCCCACAGCATCTGGCAAGCTTAAGCTGACGCAGACTACATATAGGGATCACATCACTCACTCTGAAATGGAGACATTCGTTGGGTGAAAAAACTGTAGTTGTTTAACAACAGAGTTTCAAGACTAAAGGTGAAAAGTACCTAATCCAGTTAAAGCCAGAGGGAATTTAGCAATGCAGAATTTAATTACCCCATTTGGAATTTGCCAGGACAACTGGGTTAAACACCCCTACTCTTTTGCCATGGGAACTCTAATGACTACTCGTGGTCAAGACCTCGATTTTATTTCTCATTTACAATACAGCACTTTGGCAGCAGTGTGCCCTCTAGCTAATTCATAATGAAGAATGCAACTCCTGAGTTACCAACACATATCCTACAGCACCAATGTGTTCCTTGGAAGCTATCTAGCCATGTACAGTATTAATCAGGCCTGACCTTCCTTAGCTCATGAAATCTAACAGGACCGCTGCACAGTGTAGTAAGGCTGCATTTGTTTTCCAATTAAACCATGTCAGATAAAGTAGCATGCAATAAAATTGTCTCCTATGACTGACTGATTTTAATCCCATAAAATTAACAGCAAGGAATATTAATATTGGCTATGGAAGATATGTAATGTTTATGTTACCCATTTAAATTAAGAATTATAGAAATCAGAGATGAGAAAGACCTTGAAGACCATCTTAACTCATGTTCCTACCAATGCAGAGTTGTTCTTGACAGTCTTCATCCGATGCACTTTTAGGTGATTCGAGAAATAGGACTTCCATCTCTTCCCTCCAGGGACTATTACACATTCAAATAGATTTCCCCCCTAATATTCAGCATGAATCACCCTTCCGCAAATTTCAGCTAGGAAACATCTCAAGCAAACCCTCTCTCTCTTTACTGTTCACACCCTTCAAATGCTTGTATCGTTCACAAACAGTAGGTCTACACCACAAAAAGAGGTGTTCTTATCTCGGGTTAGCTAACCCACATTTGCTAACTCAGGTTAAATAGCGGTGAAGACAACTCAGCTTTTAACTCAGGTTAGCAGCTCAAATTAAAGCCTATAGGTAGGGCCCTACCAAATTCGTGGCCGTGAAAACCATGCCACAGACCATGAAATCTGGTCTCCCCCTGTGAAATCTGGTCTTTTGTGTCCTTGTACCCTATACAATACAGATTTCACGGGAGAGACCAAAGTTTCTCAAATTGGGGGTCATGACCCAAAGGGGAGTTTGAGGGGGGTCACAAGGTTATTTTAGGAGGACTGCAGTATTCCCACCCTTACTTCTGTGCTGCCTTCAGAGCTGGGTGGCTGGAGATCAGCGGCTGTTAGCCAGGCACCCAGGTCTGAAGGCAGCGCCCTGCCAGCAGCAGCGCAGAAGTACGGGTAGAGGTACCGCAATCCCCCTACAATAACCTTGCGAACCCCCCACAACTCCTTTTTGGGTCAGGACCCCAACACCGTGAAGTTTCAGATTTAAATAGCTGAAATGATGAAACGTAAAATTTTTAAAATCCCATGACTAAGGGACTGTTTTGTTTTCCATTCTATTTTCTGCAGACTGATGACTTTCAAAGAAACACATGGCTCAGGACCAAAGGTAGACACATCCTTATTCTGATTTATGTTTTAGTCTGTGTGATAAATGAAGTTTTAGTCTGTTCTCCCCAAACTGGCTGCAATGCTCCTTCCTCAGGATCTACATTGTTGTTAGTTATATGCCCTACCCCTGTACTTTAACCCTAATCTAAAATGGACTAAAATGGACCCTGAATTTGGTAGGGCACTACCTATAGAGGAGTCTGGGGTTGAACTTGAGCTGCTATCCTGAGTTAAAAGCCACATTGCTGTGTCTTCACTGCTATTTTAATCTCAGTTAGTTAATGTGGGTTAGTTAACCCAAGATCTGAACACATCTTTTATTAGCAATGTAGACATACCCTTAGTCAAACTACTACTATAAGCATTTAGTCACTCTCTGCACTCTTAAATCACTTCAATACTTGTTTTAACTCCCCAATTTGATGACAGCTTTCTGATACTGAGATACTCAGAACTGCTTGGTATTCTAGGTGCCATATCACCAGTATCAGGCAGTGGGACAATATCCCCAATGCCTGTGATAAGATGCCTGCATACACAACCTAAAATTTCATTAGTTTTTATTGCTGCCATATTATAGCTAATTTGCTGTTCTACACACATTTAACAAAAAATAAACTGTAAAAAAGATTATACCACTTAGAGATAATCAAAATTTTTCCATCAAAATATTTTGATAGAAAACTGGATTGTCAAGTAGATGAAAATTTTCATGTTAAATGTCTGTAGTTTTTGGCTGAAAATGTTTTGGTTTTTAATAAAAAGTTGAAATTTTCTGTGGAAAAATACTCAGTTTTCCAGCAAGGTCTATGTAAATTGTTTATTCCTCATAATATGCTAACAGCTTGTGCTGATCTTTGTCATACTTGTTAAAGAAATTGCTAGGAAGTCCAGATTGGAGAGCTAGAACCAAAGCCAACATTTTCAAACATGAGTACCCAAAATTAGGTATCTGGATCCATATTTCTTTACTTATTTTGATTTATACATTCATACCATTAAAAGGGTACCTCTGGATTCTTCTAGGCAATTTCTGGGTTGATTTTCAAAATGTCTTAATGACTCGGGTGCTTTTGAATGAACTATGTCTCTTAAATACACAATTTATTAAACTTGCAAGGCACCTGAATAAATTATCCGGTTTTCATTTGAAGCTGCAGGTGCTCAGGTTTTCTGAAAAAAAGCAAGCCATGCAGTTAGGTGTCTAAATTTAGGAACTCAAGTTTAAACACTTTGGTCCATATTTTCAGCCCAGTGGACACACAATCACAAACTTGTTTTTGAACTCCCAGAAAGCTAGCGGCACAATTAAAATCACTTAGATGTCCAAATGGATGACTACTGGAAGCATGTCCAGCTGACACTGTGTGCGTCCACAAATTACAGGTGTAGAGTAGAGTCCAATTTTAAAAACTATGATACACCAAAACAGCTATATCCTACTCACACAAACAGCTAGGTTTATTACAAAAAGCTCAGTATATGCTACACATTCTGCTGCACCAAAACTTCCAGTTTCAAACTTTGGAGCAAAGGGTTCAGTATTTGAATCATGGCTGTCTCGCTCAACTATGAGCTGAACCAAAGCCCCAGATTTAATATCCTCAAACTTTGGGGCAGAGTGAAACCCTGATCCAAACTTTGCTGCACAGCTGCCTCTGTACTAAAAGCACTATAGTTGGTTTGTAACGTGGGTTACTTAGGGTTAAAATCTCCATGATTCCATACTGCTTATTATTTTACACTTATAAAGTCAAGGAGATATGATTTTATTGCTTATAATTCATTTTTACATTAGTCTTCTGCCACTATAACTTCATTCTGCCTTTTCAGATGTTCCTTTTGCTTTCTGAATATTTAAATAGCAAGTCTAATTATCCCTGACTTGATTATCCTCCTCTTTTAAAACCTTTCCAGTGTTATCAACAGTTCAGTTCTTCATTATGTTTAGATTTAAGAAAGCTAATATGCATCACATTCATTAATTCTAGGACAATCTCCAGTATTTCTCTTTTAAAACACATCTGTATCAGATTTCATCTTCAGAGACACTATTGCTGAAATACTGAGAGCATGGCAGGTTGCTCATCACTAAATCTTTTGGATAGAGAAAAATCTAATATAACATGATGTATAGCCCTGAAATCAATAACAAATACTCAATAACTGATGGCATTAGATTAGGTTAAAATAGAAAAGATTATGTTCATCAACCCATGCAGAAATATTGTTTCTTTTAAATTCTCCAAAACAAGTGCCCATTTCTGGCTTTATTTCCAAATTCATTAATAGTAAGCTGGGAAGTGTTGATTTAACATTTTATACTTCCAATTCAATAGTATTTATAGAGGTTAGCAGGCCATATAAGTAATAAGCACCAGATTTAGTAATTCCAGCAACTGACAGCAAGTATTGTAAACTAGTAGCTTCACAAACACTGCAGTATTTTTGGTCAAAACTGCATTTTACAAGAGTTTTATTGCAGTGTTTTTTATCATTACCACCGAGGAATTTTTATTATTATTTTCGTGAGGCTGGTAGCATCACTTATTTAGGCTGAAGGACACTACCCATTAGAAGACTCTGTTTTAAGTGGCTAATACCTTTGCCAAATTTTAAACGTTTGGGCTGAAATTTTCCACGCTGGTTGTCTGCCTCAGGCTGATTTTTACTGGAAAGTTGCAGCCAAAACAGTTTAGTTGTTTCTGAGGATGACGCTAAGGAAAAATACATTGTTTCCTGATGTGAAAAAAATTATGGCAACTTTTGTTTTGAGAAGCTCGAGCATTCCCGTTTTGTAGCAATTTCCCTGAAATTTGGCCTGGTGGTGGCCTCTGCGTCAGGGACATGACTTTTGCCATCCCCATATGTGGCCAAGTTCTAAGTCTTTGAAAAAAATCTCAATTTGCACGAACGCAGTGAGATTACTTAGAGTTTAGTAGCTAACATCTCCAAAGAGTCCATCCCCTCACAGCTTCTACTTCTTCTAGGGGAAGCAAAGAAGTAGACTGGGACACGAAACGTACCGATGCTGGGACTGAAGTGTGTGTGGGGAAGTGTCAGCGACTCGGTACCACAGGATTAATAGGGAGAAACTAGTACTGAGTGGGCAAGAAGATTGGCACTGGGTACTGGGGTGTGGGGAACCAGGAATTGGGATTTGGGTGGGTGGGAGAAAGAGAAGGCTGGGAGCCAGGGTAGGCTAGGCTGTGACTGGCTGGTCAAGGAGACTGGGACAGGGACACAGGGAGGCACGAAGGGAGGCTGTGACTGGCTATGTAAGGAGACTAAGCCTGGGAGCAAGTGTGGGAAATGGAAGTAAGAAAGGGGAGTAAGCAAGCAGAGGGAACAAGTTTGCAGCAAGTTTGAGATTGCATGAGGAGCTAGTGCAGGGGAGGGCAAACTCCTGCACCCCAACCCCCTTCCCTGAGTCCCCTCCTGCACCTCGCTCCCCTTGCCCCGAGCCCCTTCCTGCACACTGCACTCCCTCCTGCACCCACATCCCCTGCCCCAGCCCTACATTCATGGCCCATACAATTTCCCCACCCAGATGTGGCCCTCGGGCCAAAAAGTTTGCCCACCCCTGAGCTAGGGTAACAAAGACCAGTGGGGGAGAGCTGGGACTAGCTGGTCAAACAGCCCGGTCAAAGAGCTTCAAGAAGGGAGACTGGGACAAGGATCCAGGGAGGGGAAGGAAAAGTAGGGGGAAACTGAACTGGGAGCCAGTGGGAGCGGGGATCAAGGGTGGGCAGGGATGACTGAAGGTCAGAGAGGAGGTTAAGAGGGAAACAGATCTGATGAGGAGCCAAGAGGCAGGTGTCAGAAACAGGGAACGACTGGGCAAGCAGATTGGGACTGAGATGGAGAGACAGACTGGAAGAGGAGGGAGACTGGAATTCAGATGGGGAGTCCTGAAGACAAAACTAGGACTGTCTGGGCAAGGAGACTGGGATGAACAGCACGAAGAATAGAGACAGGGACTGTGTAGGCAAGGAGAATGCAAACAGGACAGGAGCCAGAAGTGGGAAGAGACAGGGTCAGATTGGCGGGGACAAGGCAGAAAGGGTCAAACTTGGAGGGAAATAGGCAAAGGGGCCATATTCACTGGATCAGGGGTTCTGAAACTGGGGGTCGGGACCCCTTAGGGGGTCACGAGATTATTACATGGGGGGTCACAAGCTGTCAGCCTCCACCCCAAACCCCGCTTTGCCTCCAGCATTTATAATGGTGTTAAATATATTAACAAGTGTTTTTAATTTATAAGTGGGGGGGGGGTTACTCAGAGGCTTGGTATGTGAAAGGGGTCACCAGTACAAAAGTTTGAGAGCCTCTCCACTAGAGAACTCTCCCCCCGCAGCGCTTGGTTGGAACTCAAGATTCATAAGTCTCACTATCCCTCTCCTATCAGCAAATATCCATGAAATCCACTAACAAAATGTTTGTCTCATTCCCCTTTAGGACTGGTCCACAAGGAGGGTGAGAATTATTGCTATTAGTTACTCCATGAGTTCAAGTAGCAGAGGTCTTTGTGCTGGATCTAATGTTCGACCCAGCTGGTTCATCATGTTTCAGTCAATACGGTGTTGTACGATGGACTGTTTTTTCAGTTTGCTTTTTTTAATAACATAGGCAATTACAAACAAAAATTATATCACAAGAACTTTAAGGTTGCAAAGTTAAGCACTTCAGATTGCCTTTGCAACTTAATTCAGCTCCCCTTTTCTAATGCATTATGATATAGGCTTTAATTACTTGATCACGTACTATGTTTTAATTACTTGATCACGTACTATGAGGATTCTTGCCTCATTCAGTGCACAGGATGGACGGGCTCAGTTAATGACACTATTCAACATAGTAAGTGGGGGTCTACTTAAATTGCGGAGAAATCAACATTTTTCACAGGGGGGGGGTCACAGTATTGCTACCCTTCTGCACTGCCTTCAGAGCTGGGTGGCCAGAGAGCAGCGGCTGCTGGCAAGGTGCCAACTCTGCAGGCAGAGTCACCGCCAGCAGCCGCGCAGAAGTGAGAGTAGCATGGTATGGAAAGCATCAGCAGCTGCTGGCTGACCGCCCAGCTCTGCAGGCAGCGCAGAAGTAAGGGTGGCAATACTGTGACCCTCTTCCAATAGGCTTGTGACACCCTTTTCACCCCCTTGTGACCCCCAGTTTGAGAAACACTGCACTTTTGTATACTTTTACCCTATAGTATGGAGCAAAAATACACAAAAGACCAGATTTCATGGGGGAAACTGGATTTCACAGACCGTGACATGTTTTTTATGGCCACAGATTTGGTAGATCCCTAATAATAAGGGCACTGCAATGCGGATGCATCTTATATTTATCATAGTGGGTTTGGGAGTTAGGCCTGTGAACTGTGCCACTCATTCAATGGCACATATTGAAGAATTCACCGATTAGCATTGCTAAGAGTCCTGGGCAGGGATGTGCCCTCAGAGTGATACATTATGTCAACAGCATATGGTTTGGAGGAATTAGGCCAAAATTAGAGAAAGAGAAAACATGATGCCCAACTCTGCTCTAACCTAGGGGTCAATGCGAGTCAAGGCAATTGGGGAAAATGTTGCATTGAGGTACATAAAGAGTCCAATAAAGGCTAGTTCTCCTGCCCCGCAAGGGGCTTCAGTGGACCTGAAATAAGGATTATGGTCTGGTTAGCTGGGAAAGGTTCTGGACTGTTTTGTTTTCCATTCTATTTTCTGCAGACTGATGACTTTCAAAGAAACACATGGCTCAGGACCAAAGGCAGACACATCCTTATTCTGATTTATGTTTTAGTCTGTGTGATAAATGAAGTTTTAGTCTGTTCTCCCCAAACTGGCTGCAATGCTCCTTCCTCAGGATCTACATTGTTGTTAGTTATATGCCCTACCCCTGTACTTTAACCCTAATCCCTCTAGTAAACAGGAATTAATTTTGTGAGTCTATTTCCGCTAAGAAATCCATTAAGTCCCCAAGGAAGCATATCAGAGGCTTCAGCTGTTCTTAGTGCTTCTCCCCTTCTAACTTGCAGAGCCCTGATCACAGTTTGAACCTGCAGATAAGTTACTGTAGGCTCTTGTGAGAACAGCAGGGTTGCAACCCTGACTCCGCCTCCACGTGGGTACAGGTGGGTTTTCCTCCTTTACTCCCATGTAAGGTAGGGGGAGAGGAGAAACAAGACCACAGTGACTTAAAATACACTCTTTTTTCAAAAATACTCATCATAGAATATAGGGTGGTGAAAAATTAGAGGAGAGAAGAAGGAAAGATGGGAGGACATAATATGACATTACATTACAAGCAAAGCAATTCCCTTGTATATATCACTGTGATGTAGCAAATGTGGACGAAGGAACCAATTGAAAACGGGGGAAACTAATAGTGTGTTACGGTGCAATAAAAGTTGTGTGTTGATTGCATAACTAGAAGGGTTAGTGCATACCACTATGCAAATTATTAAAGGATCACAGCCTATAAGAAAGATCAAATTATGTATTATATTTCCCTAATCTTAAAAGGCTTCTGATACTAACTGGAACATTTTCTGTAATACTTTGTGCCTTGAAAACCACATATAATAAAACATGATTGTGGCAAACATGTAAGAATACACCTAGGTTCTGATTTTAATTTAACACAGAAGTTTCTCCCAATCAGTTTGTCATCCAGATTTTGTTATTAGTATGACAAACTATTTTTCTAACCCAGTCTTTAGAACAGCCTGAACATATGAAGCCAACCCATTCTTCAAAATGCCATTGATCACCATACATTACTCACACATAACTAAATGGATGTAGAAGAATATCTCCTCTGAGCATCTCATCATATTTTGAGCAGCCAGACTGTCCAAGTAAAGTAGTTTCCCCATGGAATTATGACAATAAAATCTTGTTGTCTCACACTGGAGCCAATAGCTGTAGCTGTTTCCTCTAATACTGGCCCCACCCCTGTGGAACACCTGAGCTCACCTGCCGCCTCTCTGTACCTCTGGCACTTTTAAGTTCTGCAAGCTTCCTCACCCTAGCAGCTCGCTGCTGCTGACTGGAGAACAGAGGAACACAGCAACTGCGTGACATGAGAGGTCCATTGTGGTGGGAAAGTGAGAGGAATGGCCTGTTGCAAAAGGGTGACTCCAAACAAAACAGATTTGGAATCACTTCTGTATGTAGTAATCTTCTTTTGGAAAATACTATAAACTCCTCATTTACTGCTACGCTAAGAGCCACTGCCATTTATGATGGAAGACAAAAAGCAAACAATGAATAATCTTTTTTTCCTGACTTTTCAGTTTTTTCCACTCCTATGATTTGCAGGTATTGCTAACATATGATTGATAGGAAAATATTAAGAAAATGCCCATCTACACAAGGCCATTAATTTTACAGTCTGGATAATTATTCTGCAATCTCAATCTGTACAATACTGTACATATATTAGTTTTACGGAAAAACAATAAAAAGTAATGGCCCGATTTTCAGAAGTTCTTTGCACAGCAACTCACTCTGAAGTTAGTAGGATTGCTCAGATTTTCTGAAAATCAGCTCCTTCATTTTCAAAGGTGCTGAGCATCGTCAGCCCCCATGTGCTTCAACAGGCATTGGGGGCACATGGGGCCAGGTTTTCAAAGATTTTCATTACAGCCCTGCACATAAAGATGCAGCTAGGAGCCTAATGAGCTTTGTAAAAACACCTAAAGCACTCTAGGTGCCTAAATCTCATCAACTTCAATTGATTTCAATGAAAATTAAACACCTAGGCAGCTTCAAAACTTTGAAAAATTCCAGGAAGTGTCTATCTGCATCTTTAGGTGCTTCAATGCTTTTGAAAATCCGGCTCTTGCTACCTCTCAGAACATGATCAGCACCTTACTGCACCAGCGCTATACACAGCGCCTTTCTTTGAGAGCCATGATAGTCACCAGCTCCACAGGGCATAACTGACATCCAAATCAGGGGTGGGGAACCTACGGCCCGTAGACCGGACTCAGCCCACTGCTTAATTTCACCGGCCCGAGGCAAGTATTTCTAAAAATACAGACCTATGACAGTAGCCTATGTGGGGGCGGGGGGGGGGGGGGAGAGACAAAAGCGGGGACAAGGAGGGAGGTGAGCTGCAGGCAACGGCTGTTTAACAGCAATGCTGGGGCAAGGTGGAGCCTCCAGCCACTCTAGTGCGTTGTGACCTCTCAACGGCCAGCGCTGGAGCCTGACGGTGCATGCCTCATGTCATAAATATAAAGGGAAGGGTAATCACCTTTAAAATCCCTCCTGGCCAGAGGAAAAATCCTTTCACCTGTAAAGGGTTAAGAAGCTAAAGGTAACCTCGCTGGCACCTGACCAAAATGACCAATGAGGAGACAAGATACTTTCAAAAGCTGGGAGGAGGGAGAAAAACAAAGGGTCTGGGTCTGTCTGTGTGATGTTTTTGCCGGGGACAGAACAGGAATGGAGTCTTAGAATTTAGTAAGTAATCTAGCTAGGTATGTGTTAGATTATGATTTCTTTAAATGGCTGAGAAAATAGCTGTGCTGAATAGAATGAATATTCCTGTCTGTGTGTCTTTTTTGTAATTTAAGGTTTTGCCTAGAGCGATTCTCTGTGTTTAGAATCTAATTACCCTGTAAGGTATTTACCATCCTGATTTTACAGAGGTGATTCTTTTTACTGTTTCTTCTATTAAAATGTTTCTTTCCAAGAACTGATTGCTTTTTTCATTGTTCTAAGATCCAAGGGTTTGGGTCTGTGGTCACTTATGCAACCTGGTGAGGATTTTTATCAAACCTGCCCCAGGAAAGGGGGTGTAAGATTTGGGAGGATTTTGGGGGGAAAGACGTTTCCAAACGGACTCGTTCCCAGTAACTGGTGTTAGACATTTGGTGGTGGCAGCAGAAGTCCAAGGCCAAAAGGTAAAATAGTTTGCACCTTGGGGAAGTTTTAACCTAAGCTGATAAAAGTAAGCTTAGGGGGGTTTTCATGCAGGTCCCCACGTCTGTACCCTAGAGTTCAGAGTGGGGAAGGAACCTTGACACCTCATCCTCAGCCACGCGTGCTTCCGGCGCTCTAGTGTGGAACAGTCAGTAGTGTCCCTGAGCCCCACATGCCTACTGCGGTGTTCGGGCTGCAAGGATTGCCGTGTGGAAAACTGCTCTCGGACTTAATTTGCAACCTCGGCCATCACACTAAAAAAGTGGGTGAGTTGAACATTTTATATTTATCTCTCTAACAAAAAAAACTAAATTAAGCTGCTTTTTACTTGTGTGTTGCCCATGACTGATTTTTAATGTGGGTCCATGGCCCATGATAGAAAAAAAGGTTCCTCATCCCTGATCTAAATCATCACCATATTGCGGGGTAATTACATGATTTGTCTCTCAAACCACAGTCAAAGCAATTGTTTCTCCATATATTTAGCTTCCCTCTCCACAAACGCATAATTCAGTCCCCTTCCTGTCTCTGCTTTCTATAGACCTTGCTACCTATCTGGAGTGCGCTCTCTTTATCTGTTGTCCACTAATTCGGTTTTATACAGCGTAGGTTTTTAGTAGCAATTTCGTACCCTTACACTCTCTCTTGTAACCAGAGCAATCATTACGCGTTGGCACTTTGAGGCTGATGGGTCTATCCAAGCCAGAACTCCTTGAGCTAACTGTGTACAACTGAACATTCTCCCAGCATTGACAGTCCTCATTCGAGCCAAGTGTGAAAGGTTTTAAATTAGCTTTCACAGTTTGATTCACAGACAGTAAATGTAAAATGGCACAGGATTAATTTTTCCAACCACACAGTGCTACAACATAGCCCAAAGGCTATTTTAGTTCATTTGCTTTAACTGTTAGGGAAGATTCACAATACATGGAATGCTCCAACAGAGACAGAAGCTCTAAAGGAGATTCAGAGCCTAATATTACCCCCATTAATTAAACCACTGTATGTTTGTCACTTGCTGTTAAAGTGGAAGTCACATCTAGGCCACTTCAGACAAGCCATCTCGTTTAGCATTTATGCTTCTTAGAATGTCATTATATTAATAAAGTATCTCACAGAATTATAATTAGAAGCTTGTGGGCATTTTTATTACAAACCACGTTTTTAGGGGGTTATAAAATCTGTTAACACCGGCTTTGAGCTGTAAAATGCTCCACAAGGTCTGAGCCCTGTAAGGATTATTATGTTTTTCCTAAATTACATACCGAGCTTGGCTTAATCGCAACCTATAATCTGATGGGCAGACACACAGACAGACAGACCCAGGGCCTACCTTAGGGGTGGGCCAGCCAGGTGATCGCCCAGGGCACTTGCGGTCAAGTGGGTGCCATGCAGCGGTGTAGAGTCAGAAATGGCTCTTGGCTGACAGGGAAGCGCTGTGGGGCGTCAGAGGGGGGAACGGGACACCCAGATTTCTCCCTGCTTCCTCCCGGAAGAGGAACATGGGGGGGGGGCTTGAGCAGCAATGCACAGATACTGCTCGCCCACCCCAAAGTTCCTTTGAAAGCCCCCAGAGGGCTGTGGGGGGATAGGTGTGGGGGTGGGGAGCAAAGAACTCCAGGTCACTTTCCCCAGCTGTGCTGTGCGGTGACCAGAGCATCAGGAGCTGCTGCTCTCCCCTTAACACAGCCCAGGTGGGGAAAGTGCCCTGATGTCACTCCTCGCTCCCCCTGCTCACAGCCCCCTAGGGGTGCACAAAGGTGGAGCAGTGTTCAAAGGGGGCAACAAGCAGCAATGCCAACAGCTCCGTGCATCCAGGTCAGTTTCCCCGTGTGGGCGCAGAAGGGGGTACAGTGGTTAGGGATGAAAGGGGGGAGTGCAGGGGCTAGAGAGGAGGAGGGGATTGCAGGGGTTAGGGGCAAAGCAGGGGTGGGGAGACTGGGAAGCCCACGAGTGACAGGGGCAGTGGGGGGGACACTCACTGGGGCCAGAGGAACCAAAACACAAGTTCATCCAGGGCATTAATTTTGCCTAAGGCCAGCCCTGGACAGACCTAATAAGACAGTTGACAAGATATAAATTAAAAAGAAAGCTCAGACACTGTACTAAATGTGTGTATGTACATCGTATATACTCGTTCATTAGCCCGTTCGTGTATAAGATGAGCCCCAAAGATGGATAGGTAAAAACAGTAAATAAACTGTATGACCCTTTCATAAGCCAACCCTATATTTCAGGGGTTGGCAAAATTTGGCTCCCTGCCCATCAGGGTAAGCCGCTGGCGGATCAGGACGTTTTGTTCACCTGGAGCGTTCAGAGGCACGGAGCCGCTCAGCTCTCAATGGCCACGGTTTGCCAATCCCAGCCAGTGGGAGCTGCGGGAAGTGGCGCTGCTTCTCATCATCAGTCTCTGTTGTGTCGTCACCAAATGTGGCATAATCTTCTGACCCATCGAGTGCATTGCTGATACAGCATTTCCTAAATTATTTTTCTATCATTTCAGAGGGAATGGACACCCACATGTCCTTGATCCACTGGGCAACCAGACTGATTTTGGGCTTCATAAGATTCCCCCCTTTTGTCAACTTCGCCATGTCTGAGTACATCCATTCAGACCACATTTTGTGTAGCCTGCCTTTAAAGGGTTTGTTCAGGCAGCCAAAGTAATTTTCATATTTTTGGCCACATTTTTCACCTCATCCATCTTGTGTGCCCTGAACATGTCCCAAACGAGCACAGCGGGTTTCTTGAAAAGTGCTCATGGTATCTTATTCCACACTTTTTCCAGCCACTCAATAGTCCCACTTTCATCCATCCACCCATCCCTTTTCAAGTGCATGTACAATGACACCAGCAGGAAATTTCGTGTTTTTAGGCAAGGTGTTTCTTTTAAAAATAACAACAGGCGGGAGCTTTAATCCATTTGCCAAACACGATAAAACCACAGCAAAATGGATTTTTTCATGGCCAGTGGTTTTAATTAAAACTGTTTTTTCCCCAACACCAGTTACCGTTCTGTTGCTCGGAGATCGAATGTCATCGGTGTTTCGTCCATATTTCCTATTTGTGACAGTTCAAATGCATATTCCTTTCAATATTTTATAATAAACCTTTGGAAAGATTCGATTTTTTCTTCCAGATCTCTCGGCAGCTTTTGCACTATCTTTGTTCGCTGACGAAGACAGAGACTATGACGGTTCATGAAGTGAGTACACCAACCTGCTGATGTGACAAACATTGATGGCTTTACTGAGTTGTATTTGTCATCTTTCGACATTTGCAGAGCATGCAGACGAATTCCTGTTCTAGTGACAATGTACCCATTTTGTTGACATTCAACAACCCAATTATTGAGATCTTTTCTCCAGCTCAGGAAATGAAGTGCACCTCGTTGGACATTTTTTCTGGTTTCTTGGCATGTCTTTTAGTGTTGTTTTATTTTTTCGCCATTCTCTTACTTGCTTCTCATTGATACAGAATTCACAAGCAGTTGCGCAATTCTTGTTTGCTTCTGGACATTCAACAACTAAGTCTGAACGCTGCATGATAAGCTGACCTTTTTCCTTTGATTTCACCAGTCTTCATTTTAACTACTACTATGAAAATAGATTATTATTATTGTAGTTATAGATTTTGTAGGACTTTATATAGGAATGTCAGCTGCTTTATCACTGTCAAATTATTATTGTTCTTCGTTTACTTCAAAGCAGCCCTGTAGATTGGCATGTCTGTGGGGATAACAGGCTATTTCAATTTTATTAGAGATTTCCATGGATTCTGCACGTTACATTTTCATATTGGCTTGAGACTTACGAGGTCCATTGGTAGAAATGCATGAAGAGATCAAATTACACAGTAGCGGACTGACACCATTGCTATAGTACTATCGTTCATTGTGTTTTTCTGATTGGCTTGGAAGGCAGAGCATTTTGTGAAATGCATGGGTCAAATGTTATGAGGATCTGCAGCACTGCTCTTTTAGTATTCCTTTCAAGCCAACCTAGTCCACTAAACAAAGTCTTTGCAACTTTAAAAGGCTGCAGTATTGACATCAATAAATGGGTCGGCAAAATTTAGCTCCCAGCCTGTCAGGGTAAGCCACTGGCGGGACGCGACGTTTTG